CCACCCTTAGGCCTCGGGATTCAGGCGGTGTTTCAGAATGTGCCGTTTCTCCTCCCTCCAGTTTCCTTTCCGAGCTTCTGTTAGATCCCAGAGATGTTTTTCCCCTCCCTGAGCGCAGAGTGCTGCTGAATCCGTCCATCGTTTTTCTGTTCACCGCCAGAGACTTAGCACGAGAAGGCAGGTGTGGGTGGGCTTTGCACAGCCCGGGAAGACAGTCTGCCGCGGAGCCCAAGAAGCAGCTTCCCCTGCCAAGCGTCTCCCCCGGAGCCCAGCAAATGGCCCGAGACCACTGGGCATACATCTTGCGTCTCAGTCTGCAGCGAGCCCCATTACAGTGAAGCATTGCATGTAAATGTATTTAGGACCGTCTGGCAATTAAGCACATCATAAATTATGGAAATAAGAGAAACACAGTTACTGTGATTAATTTTATTTGTAAAAAGTTGCATTGCATGGGGTGCAAGTGCAAGCATCTTAATTAAAAGTGGGAGCCGTTCTGGGGAAGCCAGAAAACAAAGCCCCCGTGTGCCCAGAACACATGGCCGCGACCCCCCCCCCATGTGTTCAGAGAAGGCGTCTCCCCCCACCCTCCCTCCGCTTCCCTGTCTGGGCCGCCCCCCACGGCCTTGTATTTTGCCCGTGTGTCTCCTCAGTCCATGAGCTCAGTGGAGCTTGGGATGCTCAAAACTCCATTGCAAGAAAAGCACTTGACCACAGGAGGCCAAACTTCATTTCTGGCCACTCCTCCAATTCCAGCAATGCCGCGGGGTCTGAGGCGGGGTGTTTATCTCAGGCGTGCAGACCCTTGGCCCAAGGGACCGGACCCAGTCCCCTGGGGGCTCCGGCTGCTCCCCCCCAGGGTTCCTTACACCCCCCGCACCTCTCCTCCTGGACTCCAAACATTTGGTGTTCCAGCTGTGCACAGACCTGCCCCATTCTGCAAAGTTAAGGTGCCGTCTTAAGGCTCAGTGGTTGACCCTTAAGTAGGCAGAGGTTTGCTAGTTCTTGACCTGCTTCTTTGCATCCGCCTGGCACCTGCTGCAGCCCCTGAGAGAACTCGCCTGAATGAAGCCCCTCCTGTCTGGGGTCTCTCTGGATGTGGACCCCCGGCAGGATCTTCTGCCCTGCCTGAGGATGCTAAAACCTTGCCCCAGCGTTCCTTTTCATGGCCACAGGGAGCAACTGGCCATGAGTAGCCCTGTCCACCGTGTTGGGTGCGCAGGGACGCCTCTCTCCCCTCCCGGCGCCCCTTCTTCAGTCCGGCACAGCCAGCCTCGCTTTCAGCGTCTGCTCAGAGATTTGCGTTGCGGTGGATTTCGTGCCAGGGTGGCCCAGCAGAAGCCATGGTGGGTTTCGGCAAGAGCTGGCCATGGCCAGGTCCCAGCTGGGAGCTTCTCTCTTTGCTGGGCAGTTACTCAGCTGGCAGCATGAAATGCCCATCCCGGGAAGAGCCACGCCGGAAGGGCCCCGCGGGAGCTCTCCATGCAGAACAATTCCAGCATCAGCACCCCCGGGACGGTGTCCCTGCCGGCGGCGGATTACGGCAAACGCAGCCGAGCTCCTCGGGAGGACGCCAGCCGCCTTGAGGCTGGCTTCTGGAGAGGCTGGCTGGTCAGCTGCCCCCTCGCCTGCTGGCTCTGCCCATCCCGGGCCAGCGTCCGCCACGGTGCAGCCCGGGGGCAAGTGGGCCACCCTCAGAGGACGAAGCCAAGCAGTGGGTCTCAGAGCAGGCGATGGCAATCGTGACACGGGTGGCAGCGCCAGTAAACGGAAGAGCATCCCAGCTTCTGGAGCGACGCCCGGCAGGCTCTCTTGAATCTTCCTGCGCCCGACAGAAAGAGCCAGTCTGCTTTCCAATATCGCCAGGGGCACCGTCGGCGGAGTAGACTCATTGTCCCATCCCTCTTTGCCTGAGAGGGAATGCAGCCTGATGGGAGAGATGCGTTTCACGCCTCCTCTGCATGATGGGAAGTTTGGGGACCAGCTCGTCTGCGAATGGAGCAGAGACCGCGAGGGACGGTGCTTCTCAGCAGGAGGAGCCCTTCTTTCCCGGCATGAGCGAGGGTTGCGCTCCCGGGAGGGAGGTGGAGTGCGGGAAAGTAGTTGCCCACTCTGTTGGTAAAGTCTGTCCCCGTCAGGAACAAACTGGACAGGGGGTGCCTGGGAATGGAGTCATCCGGACTCCACAACCCTCCATGCAGAGGCTGCCTCACGCGAGGAAAGCAGCACTGGGCTCCAGCGGCTGCCGCCAAGCACCAGGTCTCCTCCGCTCGTGCTGGGAAGCCTTCGAAGAGGGGCAGTTCGTCTCTCGTAGGAGGAGGCCCGCTGGATAAAGGTCTTTATGGGAGACCTTTATCTTCCCATAAAGATGTTTCAGTTCACGACCCTTCCAAGAAACCTCATTTGTAACCCCAGATGCAAAGGTGAATAGGACTCCATCTCCTGCTCCTCCTCCTGCTGTGGCTGCTGCTGCAGCTGGCAAAAATGCTGGCATATTTCTGAACCTGTTCAAAAAACAAATTTGAAGTGTGCCTTTGGAAATGCACATTTCCCAGAGCAGGTCACAGACAGGAACGCTTCATGAGATGGTGGACCCCACTCAGCTCCCCTCCCCTCCCCGCCCCTCCCCTCCGGTTGTGTAGCATTTCCGCAGGGGGCGAGTGCTGCAGACGTGGGACCCTTTGGGCTGTCTCTTCCTGCACTGGTTACCCTTCCCAGGCTGGGGCACCAAGAACCTCGTGCCGCGTTCCCCGGGTGGTTGCGCTGCAGGTTTCCATGACGCCGGAGGGATCCCGCCCGGCAGCTCTCTGGCAACCCCGCTGGGCACACCGGGTGCAGCTGAGCGAGGCCACGGCTGCACTCCAGGCTGCCCCGAGCGGCACGCCCAACTGGAGGGTCCCTTGCGTGGGGCCTGGCGAGGGCCCCGCAGCAGGAGCATGGGCTTTGTGGGCAGAACGCTCCGGGCTCAGCCCTGCAACCAAAATGCAGGGCTGGGGAACCCTCCCTGCCAGGAGCCTTGAGAACCAAAAGGCCACCGGTGGCAGCTGGGCGTGAGCGGGCCCAGGGGTCCTGGGCAGTGACGGTCCCCTGCTGGAAGGTCTCCTCCGCTTGGCAGAGCATCCACTACAGAACGGGCCTGAAGGGGAAAAGCAAAGCGGGGGGGGGGGGCGTAGCAGGGACTTTGAAGCTGCCCCTGAGCAGCTGCCCCAGACGGCAGATCGGGCGGTGGACACGGCTCTCTCCGCCATGCTGCCGTGCCTCGTCTTTCCCTTTCAGGAACAGTCCCTCTTTCTAAATTTGCAGCTGCACATGTGAGCTTGCACGCAGCTGGGAGTCTGCTTTTCTCTTCTGGTGATGCGCAAGTGCCCACCCTTGTCGAAGCGGCTCTTGCCATCCCAGCGGAGGCCGTGTGCCTCCGAGTACCACTTTCCGGGGAACACAAAGGCGGCGGTGCTCTGGGGGCCCTACTGGCCGGCTTCCCACCTGGGCGACGGGTTGGCCGTGGGGGGAATGGAGTGCTGGACTAGATGGACCACCCCGGGTCTGATCCAGCTGCAGGGCCCTTATGGACTCGGGATAGCTGCCCTCTGGCAGAATGCTCAGCACTGAGCTGGAGAGCAAGATGAACAATCGTGGCTGTGGTGGAAGGGGGCCTGGGCAACTTGTGGGAGGTTTCCGCCTCCGCCTTCCTCTGACAAGGGTGCCCAGCAGACAATGTTGGGCTGCCACACGGAGCCTCTCTCGGACAGCATCCAGGAAAGGCATCTGACACTGGCCCACGCCTGCTCACGCATTCCTCCTTCTCTCGGAGGAGGCCCTGCAGGCGCTTCTGCCTGTGTGTCTAAACAGAGAAGGGGAGCAAAGGGGAGATGCAGCCCTTCTGGTCTCCGGCTGGCAGCCAGCCAGATTTCCTCCACGACGCTGGGCCTCTTGGGTTGCCCAAGTGAAGTGGGGGGGAGTGCGCTCCCGGACGTGGTTTCTGTGCGGTGTGCTCCAAACAGCGGTGACCCCGAGGGGGGCCCTGCTGATCGTGTCCATAAATCATTCTGAGCCTGCCTTTCTTCCAGAAAGAAGCCCAAGGCTTCTTAATTAACAAAATTAATTGGATCCATTAAAAAAAAAAGCTTTCCATTGTATGAAGCACCACAAGGCAGTTTAAATGGAGGTTCGAAAATGAAATGCATCTGCTGAAGACAGCCTGAATGTTGAAGGCTCGGTGGGGCCGTGGTGTCCATGGGTGGCGGCGTTGGCCCCTGGGCGCCTGCAAACGCAGCTGCCCATCAATACCTGGAAGTTAGCAATGGAGGATCTGTAGGCACCAGCTGAGAAAAAGCTGCATCAAGAGGTGTTGTCCAGCGGCATCATCGTCCTAACTTTTCTTAGCTAGTTTTTGGAGTCCGCGGAGCAAAACCCACCCCTCCCCACAGCCAGCCATGTGATTCCGCGTGTCGCAGATCTGGGCAGGCCCCAGAGGGCAGCCTGGGTTTTGCTGCGGGGGCAAGCCAAGGCTCGGCATCACAGGCAAGGCTGATTGGCCGGGAGCCGGGCTGGAGCAGCCCGTCCTCTGCAGAGACCCCCCGAAGACTGACTGGGCCCCCTGGTCTGCGCAGGGTTCTGAGGAAGGGGACTGGCTGCCCAGGGCACGTGTGGAGCCGATGGGGGAGCCATGCCCCACCGGCTCCATCCAGCAGGGCCCTCCTCGAACTGGGGATGCCAGAGACGGCCTACAGGCAGGCAGGGACTCCACACAGAGCAGCTGACCTGTTCCCTGCACCCCACGGGCTCCTGTCTCCTCGCGTGGCCCCCAAGCAGATCTCCCATGGCACACAGCCCGGCCGGCCTGGCCGGGAACGCCGCCTCCCTGCCCTGGGCCATTCCGAGGCAAAACGGGGTGTTTGGAAGTTGCACGCACAGTCCTCCCCAACTCATTTCTCTTCTCTTTCCTCGCCTCTTCCTTCTCTCTCTCTCTCTCATTCTCTCTCTCTCTCTCTGTGTTCCAGATTATGCTTGGCCCTTGCCTGAACAATTGTGCCCCATCTGGATTTCCCTAGACGTGCTTTTTTCCACTGCCTCCATCATGCATCTCTGCGCCATCTCTCTCGACCGATACGTCGCCATCCGTAACCCCATCGAGCACAGCCGGTTTAACTCGCACACCAAGGCAATCATGAAAATTGCAGCTGTGTGGACTATCTCAATAGGTAAGCCCCCTGCCCCGGCAGACCAGAAATGCCCTCGCCACGGGGGTCCGCCGTGCTCGCGCCCCAGGGCCTTTTCCGCAACGGCCACGCGTTCCCACACAGCCAAGTCACGCGTCCGAGTCCCTGCCTTTTGCTCTCTCTCTTGACCCGCGCCTTCAAGCTCTGTGGGTGGCTGCGATGCCTCACCGTGGATCGGTACCTTTTCATTTAATTTTATTTCCATATTGTCCAACAGCTGGCCAAGAGCAAACTGGGTTGCCACCTCAAATCTGGTATTTTCCAGAAGGGTTTAGATACAACTCCCATCATCTCTAGCGTGGTGGCTGGGGATAATTGGAACTAGTGTGCAACACACCTGGGAGGCATCAGGTTGGGGAAGGCCACTTGATCATGACTGTGTGACTAAGCACCAGCCTGAGGACCAGAAGGGCTTTAATGCCCTTGAAACCTGATTGCAAATTTGCCCCCTTTTACAGAAATCATTTTTACCTCCCCACACTGAAATCTGTGACAATCCCTCCTTGATGCTGTACGACCCCCACCAAAATTCTGTGCAAAAGCAATTATGCAATTATGGTTATGTTCTTTTAATTAGTGTGTGTGTGTGTGTGTGTGTCTTTTTAACTTTTAATTTTAACTTTTGTTAACCACCCAGCCTTGGCTATTGGGTGGTATAAAAATGAACGAATGAATGAAATATTTGCCCCCTGATTCTTTGTCTTGAAGTATCCTTACTGGAGGGATAAGGAGAAACCAAATGGATCACCTTTGCCATCCAGTTTTAAAGCTTTAAGTCTCATGAATTTTGGCGGATGGCCCCATCATGCAGTAACATAGAAACAGAGTGAGTCAGAAGGGGCCTCCCGGGCCATCTAGTCTGGCCCCGGCTCCAGTCGGCTCCACTCACGACATGCCCACCACGTGCATGTCCAGCCTGTTCTTGAACACCCGCACCGATGGGGCCTCACCCACCTCCCGTGGAAGCCCCTTCCACACCCTCGGGGTCCCAACTGTCAGGAAGTGCTTGCTGGCATCCACATTGAACCTTGGTTCCCTGAGCTTTGCTCCATTGGAGCTCATCCTGCCTTCCTCTGCAGGGGAGAACAGGTCTCTACCCACCTCCATGTGACACCCCCTCACATACCTGTATGTCGCCAACAGATCCCCTCGGAGTCTCCTCTTCTCCAGGCTGAAAAGACCCCGTTCCCTCAGTCTCGCCTCATACAGCCTCCCCTGCAAACCGGCCACCAACCTTGTGGCCCTTTGCTGCACTGACTCTAACCTGGCTATATCCTTTCTGTAAGGAGGGGCCCAAAACTGAGCACAATACTCCAGTTGCAGGCGCACCAGAGTCATATAGAGTAGTAGTAATACCTCTCTTGATCTAGAAGCCACACTTCTGGCTGTGCAACCAAGTGTGGCGTTCCCCCTCTTGACCACCGCATCACACTGCTGGCTCATGTTTAGCCTGCAGTCAACCAGCACCCCGAGGTCCCTTTCACAAGTGCTGCTCTCCAGCCACTTGTCCCCTAACCTGTCCTTATGACCCCCATTCCTATGCCCCAAGTGCAAGACCTTGCACTTCTCCACATTGAACGCCATCCTGTTGTCTCCTGCCCACTTCCATAGTCTGTCCAGATCCTTTTGGATCTGGAGTACCTGCTCCTCAGTTGTGGCCACTGCTCCAGTTTTAGTATCATCTGCGAATTTGATCAGCGGATCGTTCACCCCTTCTTCCATGTCATTTATGAAAAGATTAAACTGGATTGGCCCCAGGACATAGCCCTGGGGGACCCTGCTTGTCACTGGCTGCCATCCCGGTGAATCCCCACTAATGGTTACCCTCTGCTTTCGATCAGTCAACCATGCCCTAATCCACCGGACAGTGCTTTGGTGTATCCCAAAACTCCTTAGTTTCTCCACCAGGATATCATGGGGCACTTTGTCAAAGGCCTTGCTGAAATCCAGGTAAACCACATCCACTGCATCCCCTCCATCTAGCCACCTCGAAACCTTGTCATAGAATCCCACAAGGTTTGTCTGGCAGGACCTGTTTTTGCGGAAGCCGTGTTGTGTGGCTGCCAGCCTCCCTTCCCTATCTAGCACCGCTAGATCTCTCCCTATAATGAGCCTTTCCATTGTTTTTCCTACAATGGATGTAAGGCTAACCGGTCTGTAATTCCCCGTGCCCCTTCTACTACCCTTTTTGAAAATTGGGACCACTGATGCCACCCTCCAGTCCTGTGGAACTTCACCCGTTCTCCACGAGGCCTCAAAAATGGAGGCCAGCGGGAGTGGGAGAACCCCTGCCAGCTCTCTGAGTACTCTCGGGTGTAACCCATCAGGGCCTGGCGCCTTTGTAATGTCCAGTGGCCTGAGGAGCCCCTCGACTTCAAGGGGGGGGTGACCCTAATCTGTGCCCCTAAGTCCCCGGCCTCATCTAATCTCCCATGCGGATCTCCCCCATCCTGCTTTGGGGAGAACACAGAAGCAAAATAGTCATTTAGCATCTGTGCCTGTTCCCTCCTATCAGTCACTGGATCTCCTTCCTCCTCATTTAGTGGTCCCACCACTTGTCTCCCCGTCCTCTTCCTATTTACATGCTGAAAGAAGCCCTTTTTGTTGCTCTTGATATCCTTGGCAAGTCTCAGCTCGTAATCAGCCTTAGCCTTGCAAGAATCCTCCTGCAACGGCTTCCTCCTCCTGGTAGACCCTTTTGTCTATTTGCCCCAGTACCCATTTCCTACGGAGGTCCCTCTTTTGTCTAATCCCTCTAGCCAATCATGTTTGCCTAAAACTGTTTTAAACAAGGAAGCACAATTTTAAGGTATTAATTTTGCTGCCGTCCACTGGGGGTGGCCAGGGAGGATGGCGAGCTTGCCCCCCTCGTGCCCCCCTGCGAGGACCGGCCCCACCCTGGCACCAAGTGACCTCCAGCAACAGAGCGCGCTGGAGACGCTGCACTGGGCGTGGCAACTTTTTCAGCCCCCCGACGGGGCAGGCACGACCGCGGCCATGAGGTGGCGGTGGGCAACTGTCTGGGACGGGCCGGAGCAGCCGGGGTGGCTCCTTCAGCCCCGGCCTGAGCGTGCGCGGCAGCAGGGCCCGGAGCTGGCAAATGCTTCTGCTCCGCATGGGGAGAAGGGCAAGGGGTCAGGGCCGGAGGGCGGAGGGGCTGGGCCTCTCCTCTGGCAGGGCCCTTGGGTGGAGGGGCTGGCCGCGGCGCCAGGATCTTTTGAGCTGCCTGCGCCAGTGGAAAGGCTGGCTGTTCTCTCGCTGGCTTGTGGAGCCACCTAGTGGGACGCCTCTGCGCCTTGCTTCCCCTGCTGGCCTGTTGGCTCCCGGGGGGCCAGTGTCTGGACGGCTCCGGATGGGCCCTCTGGGAGAGGGAGATGGCTCGGCCCTGTGTTTTCTGCCTGTGCTTGTCCTCTCAGCCTCACACTATGGCTGAGGAAGAGCACGGCATGTCCAAGAAACTGCTAGGCGGGAGATGATGTGCAGTGAGGACCTAGACAACGTGGGTGAGGAGAGACCGGTTTCTCGCTCACTTTGGCGGCCTCACTCCATAAGATCCTGATGCGCTCTTGCCCTTCCTCTCTCTCTTACGGTCCCCCAAAGCAGCTTCCCCCAGTGTGGGACCTGTCCGTTGTGCTGACCTTCCTGTGATCCCTGGGCGTTGGCTGGGGATGGTGGGCGCTGTAGTCCAACCCCTCTGGAGCGCCTCAGATTGGGAAGGGCTGCCCCCAGTCATGGATGCTAATGCAGCATAATTGTGAGCGCCTGGTCTCGGCTGCCCCGAAATAAACCTGCAGGTGCGCCACCTCAGGCGAGTGGTGGATGCGGCGGTGGCTCAGTGGGGCGAAAATGATACCCGCTCTCTCGCTCTCTCTCTCGTTTGGGTCCTTGCTCTCGGAACGGCCTCTCCAGGGATCTCCTTGCCCATCCCGGTCATCGGCCTGCAGGACGCGTCCCGGGTGTTTGTGAACGGCAGCTGTGTCCTCAACGACGAGAACTTCGTCCTGGTGGGCTCCTTCGTGGCGTTCTTCATCCCCCTCGTCATCATGGTCTTCGCCTACTGCCTGACCGTCCGGGTCCTGCAGAAGCAGGCCTCCGTGTTCCTCTATGGGGAGGCGCCCAGGCAGCGGCGGAGCAGCACGGGCTGCGCCAAGAAGGAGAGCAACGCGGAGAACCTCTCCATGCTGCAGAACCACGAGGCCGCCTCCCACCTGAACTCGCCCATGAACAAGGAGGGGGTGCTGTTCCGCAAGGGCACCATGCAGTCCATCAACAACGAGCGGAGGGCCTCCAAGGTCTTGGGAATCGTCTTCTTTCTGTTCCTCATCATGTGGTGCCCATTCTTCATCACGAACATCATGTCTGTCCTCTGCAAGGAAGCCTGCGATGCGGCCCTGCTTGGAGAGCTGCTGGACGTCTTTGTCTGGGTGGGCTACATCTGCTCCGGGGTCAACCCCCTGGTGTATACACTCTTCAACAAAATCTACCGCAGGGCTTTCTCTAACTACATCCGCTGCCGCTACAACGGTGGCAAGAAGTCTGCGCAGCGGCAGAACCAGTGTCCGAACGTCTCGTCGACGGCTCTGTGTGGGAAAGACCTCAATTTGAACAGTTACCGCAACGGCAGCGAGCTCAACAGCATGGAGCTCGATGAGACCGAAGATGCCTTGGAGATGCACGTGGGGACCTCCGAGCTCTCAATAAACAGCTGCAGTCGTGAGAAAACGAGCAGCGTGTGAGCAAACGTGACGTGTCCACACGCTGGGAAACTCTGTGGCGCAGCTGCAAACGAACAGCACGCGTGTTAGTCAACGAATGTTGTAAATAATGCGTTCTGAGCAGGGCCTTCCGTTTCTTTTCATTTAAACTTTCATATTTGTAGCTCACTGCTTTCCACCATTCCTACAACAGGATCTGTGCTTACTGGGAGAAGCAGAACAGGCCGGATCTGAGAACCCGGTAGGAACAGCGGGTACCAGATCTAAAATGATATCTGTTATTTTGCTTATCCAGTGTTGATTTTATATTCCTGGTGCATGAACAAAATGCTGACCATTAATCTCAGGTGGTATTTTTGAGTCCTCGATGGTCCCTTATGAGTAGACACATATGAAATAAAGGCCAGCTCAAGGTTTCTTATTCCAGCACTGATAGCGACTCCTGGATCAACGGATGCCAGTCTTTCTGTGTAAACGTTGGCTGAGCGCGTGCCGATCCCGGCCCCAGCAGCGAAGCTGTGAGGCGCCAGTCCCCTGGGCAACCACTGGAGAGAAGCCGAAGGCCATTGAGGGATTACTAGGCAGGGAGTCCAAAATTGAGCACACCCGTTTGCCACCGTCCTGCTGCGCGTCTGCGGTGCGGCGGCTGCGCTCGGGGCATTTGTGCCCAGCCCTGCCGTGCATTGCAAAAGAGACATCCGTCGTGCAAAGGGAATGTTGTGCAAGGACCGAGGAGCGTGTCCCCCATGAGGAAGGAGTAGAACATCTGGGACTGTTTAGCATAGAAACACAGAAACAGAGCGAGCCGGAAGGGCCTCCCAGGCCATCTAGTCTGACCCCCTGCTCCAGCCGGCTGCGCTCACGACACGCCCGCCATGCGCATGCCCAGCCTGTCCGTGAGCACCCTCCCCGAGGGGGCCCCCACCACCTCCCAGGGAAGCCAGGCCAGCAGAGGGGAATGGTGGAGGGGTATGCATCCTCCCTCTCCCTCGGTCCTGACAGAGAGTCCCGGGGGCTCACCCTGCAGAGCTGGCTTGCGCGAGATTCAGGATAGGTCCGAGGGAGGGCTCTTTGCCCAGGGCGCCCTCAAACACTGCCAAGGGGTGATGTTGGCCACCCACTCAGACCACCTTAAAAAGAGGATTTAATTTTCTTAAGGTAACGTTTCCAATCCTTGTACCCATGAAAGCTTGAAAATATGTGGACAATCCTGGGCGAGATTTCTGAAGCCAAAGGAGCCTGATGGTTATTCCCGAAAGGCAGGTCTCAGGCACTTTGCATGACTTCCATGTCTCTTCCGCTTATCTAATGGGAACCAAATCCATGGTGCAAAATAAATGTTGGGAAATTTGTGTAGTTTGTATATATGTGTCACAGAATTAACCTTTCTGGAAAATTCAGGGAATGTGTTCTATTTTGGTTCCTCAAGAGCAGCCATCCTCACGTAGCAAAGGGCGTGTTGGCTAAGCTGCCGTGATCCTTTGTAGTTGTGCCTTATCGGTGGAGGACCAGCATCTCCTGATGTGAACATCTATCAAATAATCCGTACAGCATCGCCGTCGTTATTTCGCACGCTTCTGTCCAGCGCGTTGCTTGTGCTGCTCATCCGCTCTGAGCACCTTCCGTGAGCTCCTTGCGTCAGAGAAGATCACACCGGGACTGCTAAAGGTCCAGGTGGGCCCCTCCCTTGACGGCATCTCCTCTGATTCCAGTCTGGGGGACCCAACCCCCAAAGGGCCACATACTGTGCTGTGCTTTGAGGACCCCGGTGGTTTAACTTGTGTTTTAAACTCTCCAGGTCTTCATGACACCGGCTGTCAGTGTGGGACGCGGCATCTGTGGTGCCCATGGCCAAGAACGGGGCTGAAGCTCGGTTCCAGTTGCATACGGCCTCCCACTTCAGCCTCTTGTCCACGTGCAGGTTACTACGAAGTGAGAGAACCGGCAAAGTGGAGAACCGCAAAACTGGGCATTCGGGTCCAAAACGGTGTCGATGTTGACCCATGCCATCCAGTCGTCGCCAAGCCGGGGCAGCCTGAGGCCGAGTGTGCGCCGAAGAGTCCCTGGCAGCCCAGCGCCGCTCCCGCACATGGAAGGCCGTGGCTGGCTTTGCGGAGCCCTTCTCGCGCGGCTTCCTCTCTTCCTTCCTCCTCCTCTGCCTCTCCTACCTTGTGATCCTTGCCTTTTCCTTAACTGTAGGTTGCATTAAGCGTGCGCGTGCGCGTGCGCACGCGCGCGCGCGCGCACACACACACACACACACACACACACCAATGAAATGCTGCTCCCCTGGAAGAACTGGGATTTGGGCTTTCCAACATAACCTGACGCATGGTTCAAGCACCTCCTGCTCCAGCGTATCATCTCACCATCTTGCAGTCAAATGGCTGTTCTTGCCAGCTTGAAGCCAGGGACGTATTTACGTATTTAAAACTTTTTTAGACTGTTCCCTTACCATGGTCTCAGGATGGTTTAACAATAAGACAAAAATATAATAAAGCAGCACCCTAGTCAAATTCTTAACCAACCAACAATAAAACCCATATTAAAACAGTCAAACCTTAAAACATTGGGAAAATAAAAAGTTTTCACCTGGCGCCGAAAAGAATAAAGTGATGGCACCAGGCGAACCTCTCTGGGGAGCGTATGCCACAATTGGGGTGCCACCACAGAGAAGGCCCTCCTCCGGGTAGTCGCCCTCCTTCTGGGTAGCCACCCAATTTCTTCCTGGGGAGGCAGGGTTCCACTCGGGGAGTTCAATTTGGGGGCTTCCTCCCCTACATGTCCTATTTAGCAAGGTCTCCTGAATTGGTGCGACTTTTAAAATGGGGTGGAGAGGCTGCCTGGGAGGGGCCTGGCCTGGTTATGGACTTGCAAGGCCCTCCTCGCTGGAGCATAGGAGTGACTAATTGCTCGCAGGAGATTAAGGTGTGCGAGCGAACTGAAGAGCACGAACTGCCACATCTTGAGCATATCTTGAACAAAGTGCACAGCCCTCGACGCAGGTAAAAGGAGATGAAAGCTGCTCCTTCCCCTGCCAAAAGAAGCCTCTCCCGCCTGGAAAACTGCAGCTATTCAGGGTTAATTAAAAGAGACCCAAGTGTTCATTTGGCAACACACGGACGGACGCGGGGCCTCGCCTGCCGCAGTCCCCGGCCAGCCAAGCCTGCCAGCCTGGGGCAACACGCGTGGTGCTTGGTTAGGATCAGTTAGCGCCTCGCTTGCCCGGGGAGGCAGAGCCTCACGACGGGGCTTCGGCTGCGCGTGGAGCTCCGCGCTGCTTCTCCGCACCAGGGAAACCTCGGGAAGCCGCAGGGATTCCTGAATGCTGCGCACGGCCTGAGACGAAGGGGTCGCGGGAGGGCCGAGGGACTCCTGCTGGGCCGCAGCAGACCTGAAGCGCTGCCAAGGACAGGTGGGCCAGTCACGGGTTCCCACTGGGGCGTTGCAGCTGCAACCCGTGCCCTCCTTCCCCCGGGTCTTTGCCCTCTGCTGGCTCCCTCCAGCACGCGGTGCGCAAGGCTTGAGGTGGGAGGGGAGTGAGTCGCATCCGACAGCAAGGGGAGCAGCACGCAGAGCAGGAGGCGCGGCCACGCCAGGCGGGATGCTGCTCCGGGCAGCCGCTGCTGCTGCTTCAGGCGCCGCTTAAGGTCGCGTGCAAATCGTGGCAACACAGCAAGTCAGACTCGTAGAAGCACATCTAGTCTGGCCCCCGGGGCCAGCCGGCTCCGCTCATTCACCCCCAACATGCAGTCACCCGATCTTTCCTTGACCTGCGCACTCATTTCTGAAAATCCCGCTTTTGGGATGGCTGCAGAAGCAAACAAGCAGGCGAACATACCATTGCAGCTCCGTGACCCATGAGGGTGGGTGATGAAGGGTTCTTCCTTCAGGGTGGAGGACTCCCGGAGGAGCCGACGACGTCCGTACCGCCAGGCCCTCCCCAGGCGCCCCGTGGTGATTCAGGGAGTATCCCTTTAAGGTGCCGCTGAGGTGGTCTGGATGCATTTATGGAACTGTGCCAGACTGGTTGAACATGCCGAAAGATGCTGCTTCCTCGGAAGGAACTCCATTGCCCAACCTCTTGGGATCCGTTCACAGAGTGGGACGCGGAGGGAGAATTCATTCCCTGTTGGTGCCTCCTCCCCGTCCGCCGAGGGACTCTGATCCGGCCCTGCGGAACCTCCTTTGCTCAGGGGGCCAAAGTCCGCTCTGGGGGAGCCCACGGGGCTGCAACCCAGGGATGGGCAGGGGCAAAGCCAGCGGGCAGGGCCAGCAACCCCCTCCGACGCACAGCGCTTCTCGTCCAGCCAGGAAGCCTTGCGACGGCTTAGGATGGGGAGACAGTGGCACACACGCTGGGGAGCTGGGGAAAATGGGCTGTGCCTTGTGGGGTGGGGGCCCCTGCACAGGGCTGGCCTGGCGGTCTGTCCCCACAGCGGCGTCCTTCTTTAAAGCAACCCAGACCCACGACAGCGCAGGGAGGAGGGGATACGAGTCACGGTGCAGCCGCATTTCCTGCGCAACGCAACAAAAATCGCACTCCCTGCCCGGTCGGGACGCCGAATGCCTCAGGGTGGCCACCAGTGGGCTGCCGAAAAACTTGCACGGAACTGGAAGGGCCGGGTGCGCCCCACTTCCCGCTCGGTGGGCACTTCCACATGGACTCTTGTGAGCGTCTGTGCATCTGTGCCCTGGATTGCTTGCCACATGGTGTATTTAACGCCCTGATGCCCGAAGGAGCACATAGGAACATAGCGTGAGTCAGAAGGGGCCTCCCGGGCCATCTAGTCTGACCCCCGGCTCCAGCCGGCTCCACTCACGACATGTCCACCATGTGCACGTCCAGCCTCTCTTTGAACACCTGCACCGATGGGGCCTCAGCCACCTCCCGTGGAAGCCCCTTCCATGTCCTTGGGGTCCTGACTGTCAGGAAGTGCTTCCTGGCATCCAAACGAAACCTTGGCTCCCTGAGCTTGGCTCCGTTGGAGCACAACCTGTCCTCTTCTGCAGGGGAGAAC